TATATATATATATATATATATTCAACGGTAGGCAAAATAAAATAAAATGCATTTACTGGAGAAGATACACCCATCCATTGAGGCTGCAGTGGATCGCATTATCTCTGGAGCGAACAAAACCTCCCATACCGTTATTCGCGACTTTGATGGCTGTGAATATCATTTAGAAGTTCAATTGCAGAATCCATCATCATCAACAACTACAACTACAACAACTACAACTACAGAAACATCAACAGATAGTAATGGAAACGGCAATATACATATCTCAACATCTCCTCCAACAGCCACTATCACGATTTCTTTACAGCACAGTACACCATTTAAGGAACTTAACGTTCATTCCAACTTTGATGAAGTTCTCCCACTCCTTTTCCCACCGGAGTTACGGAAGTTTCTAAAGCCGAATGCATATCATCGCAGTAGTGGGAAGTTTATTGCAGAGATGCATCTTCCTGCCACTCTCTCTGCAGAGACCCGCACAGCCGCACTGCAGGCTGCTGCCCAACTACGCATATGGAGTTATATTCCCGTCTTCTCCCATCAGTGTGAAGTGTACTGCAGATCTCCAGAAGAGGTAAAGCCACTCGTATTGCATTATCACACTGGAGAAGAAATGTTTCTCTATAGTCATAGAGGGAATTTTCTCGTTGTGATTGCATTGCGAGCGGCTTCTAAAGATGATGCGGTGTTTATGCGACACTTTCTACAAGCGATGATGGATGCAAAGAAATTACAACGGGAGATTAGTGCAGCTCCGGCATTTGTTTTTGATTACGGCAAACCACCAGAATCTATCCCAAGTAGTTTATCACTATCCTCCACTGTTGCTAATAATCATAATATTAATAGTAATAGTAATAGTAATAGTGAGAAGCATTCAAATATCTTTTGGTGTAGTTTTCAACTCTTTCGAAGACAAATGGAGCCAATGGGGCATCTGGTAGAAACAGTAACACAATTAGTGAACTTTCGCAGTACACTTGCGTATCATATTCACGCCGGGCGAACGTATATGCATGGAATGATGCGAAAACGGGTAGAGACAAGTCTTCAGGTGCTTAACAGAGCCAAAACGAGTACTACTGGAAAAGCTAAGATTACCCTTCATTAATGCTCTCTATTATTATCGCGTAAATAGTATGAAAAAGAAGAAGAAAAAGAAAAAGAAAAGGAAGTCAAGATGATGGAGTGAGTTACAGTGTGAGAGAAAAGAAAAAAGAAAAAAAAAAAGAAAATTGAGTGCATTATCATTTTGGTATGCATTGCTCTGCTCTGTTTTCTTTATTGCCGTTAGTATTATTATTATTATTATTATTATTATTATTATTATTATTATTATT